CGCTGTAACTCAAGTGGTAGAGCGCTCGCCTTGAGCTGAAGAGCTGAGGGACAGCGCCCAGGCCCAGAGTTCAAGCCCCACGACCAACCAAAAAAAAAAAAAAAAAACGCATCACAAAATAAAAGTATACTATAAAACAAAAAACACATAACCAAAAAAAAAATATTCTTAGGGAATAATGGCATCCACACAGGTATCTACCGCATTTAATGAAAAAAATGGAGAAGTAATTTCTTACATAAGAACATTTTTTGTTCTCAGAAAGAAGTCTATCAACAGGCTACATACTAAAAATGTTTTAGCTTTTGTTCTTGATCCATAATTGCTTATAGTCTATCATTTTCCTACTTCATGGAAGATTATTGTTCAGTCTTCCAGTTTTTACTCCTCCTAGCTATATATTGCCTAGTCATACACTGAAAAAAATTGATTGAAGAACTTGTATGTGTCAGACATTGTTCTACATAGTTAGTGTAGCGTAATAAACAATTCTTATACTTGTGATTGCTTTTGAGTTAGGATGGATAGTAATAAACCACAAACACAATAAATAGATGGTAACAAGACATGAATGCTGTAGAAAACATAGAAAGGAGTCAGGGAATCAAGAATGTTGAAGGAAGAATTGTTTGAAGCATTAAATGGGCTCATTTGAGTAGTTTCTAGGGTACAAAAGCAATTAGACCAAACTCAATAATTAGAAGTCTCTGACAATCAGGAAGTCATAAACATCAGAAGTAAGAGAAGAGGGAGTGAGACTTCTAGGATGTCTGTCTGAATTAAGGCATCAAAAGTGTGAAGTGACTAGATGGGAGCCAAAACAGACAACGAGGGAGTAGGAGGTGAGAGGTGGCTGACACAGACCCAAGGTTGGGATAGAGACAGGCTTCAGTGGCAAGAAGGATGCCTGGCAAGGCCTGGAACTGCCCGATCCTCCTTGGATGAGTCTCCAACAGATAAAGTGGCCTGGAAAATAGGAATGCCTGCCCGAGTGTTGGAATTGAGGATAATGGATGAAGATCAATTATTTGGAGAAATCCTGGATAAGTTTATTAATTGTCAGGAGCAAACATATGAAGAATTTCTGAGCACTTTTACTCATCTTTCAAAAAAGGATAATGTGACCAAAACGGAGTACTTGGAACTGGTTCTTCAAAAACCATAGCTACTTCTGTCAAATTTACTCATAAAAATGAACAAAAGGACCACATCTTAGAAAGACTGAACACTGCATCACAGTGTTCAGAAGAAGAACAGATGGTGATAGATGAAGGCCTGAAAGTCAGCAGTTCCTTTCAAGGTGATCTGAAGTTGGCTGGAAAGGTGAAGGTGGACAACTTCCTCAGTTTAGAAGATGTGGACATAGATGAAGAGACTGATCCCCCATTATATGTGTAATGTTTTTGTTTTATCTCTCAGTTTAAAGTAGGTAAATAAATTTTAAATGTATATATGTGTACATATCTATATTCCTTTATGGCACTGTGCCTAGAGAATGGACTGTCAGTGGAGGTTCAGGATAGAAATATATAGACTTGCTAGGTAGCTTTTGCAGAGATCCATGTGAGAAACACATACCAGTGTAAATAGAATTAAAGGAAAATGGGATGATAAAACTTGATTTAGAAAAGAAAATAAGAAATATGAAATATTTTGTTAGAACAATGTATATAAGCATACTTTGATGATGTAACTATGTAACTATGATCAATTCTTCCTGGAAATGAAGCAAAGGGAAAGGAGAAAAGGAGAGCAGAGAAGAGGAGGAGAGGGGAGGAGAAGGGAGGGTAGAAAAGGAACAGGAAGAGGAAGAGGAAAGGAAGAGAAGAGAAGTGGAGTAGAAATGTGAATTAGGATGCTGGTGTAGAAATCAAAACACCTTAGACTTTTACCACTTGTTTGTTCTGTTAGGTAAGAATCAAACACTCAAAGATCTAATAGACAAAAATTTTTTCATGCATGCTAGACATTCACTCTACCACATTTCTTCTTTTCTTACCTTACATTATTTGGAAGTTCAAATAAAGGTACTCATGATTGTAATGTGTCATAAATACTGAGTTACAGACTAATTACTCAGATAAAATTAGTCAAGAAGTCTAGTGTTCTGCAAGCTGAATACATACCATATTTCTTACTTCAAGGAACAAATAATAAAAAGCAGTTTTCCCTCCCAGGTCATAAATCACATATATCAGAATTCATAATGATCTTTAGAAAACAATGTACATTTCTCCATATTGCCTTCTTTCTATCCTATTTTCACAGAAGCAAGTAGAGAGCACACTTTAGCCCACATTATTTTCAACATGATGAGGTTTTCCACTGAGAGAAAAGTAAACTTTTTGAACGCCTAATCACTATTTCAAAAACAATTTGGAAATTTAATTACAATATAATCAAGTTGATTACAGGGAATAGAACCTAACATTCTATTGTAGACCCAATGAAAATAGATATTCAAGTTTCTGAATCAGTCCATGAAATGAAGGGTAGAATTGAGAAAATAAAAATATGGCCAGGGCTGGGAAGATGGCTCAGTGGTAGAGCGCTTGCCTTGCATGCTCGAGGCCCTGGGTTCAATTCCTCAGCACCACATAAGCAAAAAGAA